CATCACAAAGCAAGAGATCTGAGAACTGGAAAGGTGAGGCTCACCGAGCTGTTTCTCTCTCTGCCCCTCAATTAACCCCACATGTGTTTATTGGCCAGGTTGGCACAATAAACATTAACTATCTCACTCCCTGCTGAGAATACCACGTTGTTCACCACTTTTTGATTTTTCACAGACTACATCTTTCATGAAGCACATTTCTCACACCCCACCTCCCAAATGACTAGATGTCCTCCCGACCAAATTGAATGATTCCTGCTCCATGACGCCTTCCCTACTTTCCACGTTAGAATCGGTCACCTTTACCCAGTTTCCAGTTTCACTTTGGGTGTACTTCTGTTATTCTATACACTGCTGTCGATAAATGTCTGGGTTCCATCCAGTCAATAAATATTTGCCAAGTCCCCGCTGTGTGTCAGGGCTTGCTCTCGTTCCTGAAGGACACAGCTGCAAATGAAGCCAGAGAGCGGGCTCTGTTCTCCTGCAGGAGGAGGAAATCTACTCCAATAGCTGTTTCCTCCACCAGGCTGGGTCCATGTCTTCAATACACCTAGCAAACCACCCCCACCCCCATTCTATGTCTAATACACAGTTAATCGCCTAGGGAAAGAGAGAAGCAAATAAAATGAATGAAGTAGTTCCTCACTGCCTGGGATCGCTCATGCCCAGCACAAAATCTGATCCATGATAGCGAGGGAACAAATGTTTTTGGAGGGAGAAATTAGCTTTATGGGAAATTAATTTTATTTCCACATTGTAGCAAAGGGAATAAAGAAATAGAGCAGTTGGTTCCTGTCTTGGAACAATAAGTGTTTGATGCTGGGATCCCAGACAAATTCAGCAGAACAAACCATCTTTGTTCGGAATCATTACAGGTTTCTTTCATGCCATTAATAACACTTCTAATTTAAACTTAAAGTCTAGATAAAAAGGACAGATACTAGTCAAGTCTGTGGTCAGACAGTGGCATCTCCCCAGTTCCACATGAGAAAGACCATCATTTGGGACCTCTAAGAATAGTCACAAGCATTTCAGGAAGCACTTCCCAAGGAAACATTAAACAAACTCTCTAAGGAAGTCGCTATGATGGAATAAATTAATAGACACAAGATACTTTGTGGGGAAAATTTTGAACACGGCAGCAGAGGGATAGCTTTCTACATTAAAGAAGAAGAAAAAAAGAGATTCCCACGGGAGGGAAATCTTGTGAAACAAAACATGAGAATCCAACATAACAGCAAATACAAGATATTAAACAAGGCAAAGCTATTATCATCTGGCAAAGGCTGAAATGAAAAAAAAAGAAGAAGATGCATCGCCAAAGTCAGGTTTTGGGGAATATCTTGAGATTATCGGTAAACAACTGAGAATTCTCTAGAAGTCAGTAAGATGTCAGATGGCTATGTCAGCACCTTAGTCAGAAAGGGTGGTGTTGTACTGCATACCTGTATTTAACACCCTGCGATGCTCACGCTCTTTCATATTCCACTTTTAAGAATTTATCCCAACAAAATAATTCAACTATGTGTACCACAGGAGTCATAATTAAAGCATAATGTGAAAGAGCAGAAAACTGGAAATAACCCCTTTGTGACCAACAATATTTTCAACCTCTTAGGTTTCTTGGGAATATGCCACCCAGTTGTAGTACATGTTAGCACTGCCTGGTGGGGACCCGGGTAACTGCATGATTCTGAAGAAATGGAGTTCACCTCCATTTCCCCAACAAGGACTGGTGAATCCTAGTACCAGAATCCACTTGGAACTTAGGTGTTCCACATAATTGTATAAAAATTCATATTACCTTAGGAAAAAAATCCCCCTTGATATCAGCAAGCCTTACATTACTGAAAACACATGGTAGCAACGAAGAATCCAAAGCATAAAATGATTTGATTACGAAAGAATTAAGTTAAAAAGGAAAAATAGAAAATGGTTGTGGGCACTCTGACTGTCTCTACATAAAACACATTTACTCAGGGAGGAAAAAAAACAACTAAAACTAAAAGTAATTGTATAAAAAGTGATAATAATACAGGGGTCAGATTGGAAATTACCTTTTCTTTTAAAAAGGGTTGCATGAATCATAAAAACAATTGCTAATAATTATTAGAGGCATTCACCATTAACTAATCTTTTTTTTGTTGTTGATACGAACTAGTTAAGTGCTGATTTTATCCTCACGACGACTCCCAGAGGCAGATACCGTGCACGCTTCTACTTCACGGAAAGGAAAACCAAAGTTTGAAGAGACTGGGTAATGGACGGAGACCACGAGAGCCTCCTACCAAAACCCAGGCTTCTCATCACTATCTCATCTGTCTGTCGACTTCTGCTTTCCTTTCAAGGACAAATGCAGTCAAAGCTACAGTTGCAGTAAAATGCAATGACACATCCTTTTGATGAATAAAGTCCTGCAACCCTACCTGGGTTGGCTCTAACTCCCTTGTCAGTCAAGGTGTAGGGGGCCAGGAAAGCAAACAGAATAAAAACCTCTCACTCGTGGTCCCTGAGTGTCTGCCACCTCCTGGCAAGTCTAGAGAACAGGGTAGAACTACCCCTTTGGGTTCCCAAGACTTTCAGTCTTTATGGGAGCAGACAACCTCCTCTTTCTCCCGCAGAGTCACAGGTGGGTTCAAACCCCCCCTGGCGGGTTAGCAGCTCAATATCTTGCCTGCGACGCCAGCAGAGATCCCTGAGGCCAACCTAGGGATAGGCAGGGGGTGTTCTTAGAAGTAGAGACAGCTCCCTGGCACCCGCCCCCAGGGCCCTGCTCACGTCATTCTCCTTCTTGGTAGCTTCCTGGAGTTCCATGGCCTGCTGGATGTACATTTTCCCAACCAAGATTTCATCCTCCAGCAGTGACAGCTCTTTCAGCGAAATGGGCCAGTTCAGCCGTTCTAGTGCCTCATTTAAAGCTGCTTTGTTTTCCAAGTACTGCATCGGCTTGTTGGCATCTAGTCTAAAACAACCAGAACAAGAAACCAAGTGACATCAACAGGAACAATAAGACAGCTTCTCAGTAAGCTGTCCCCTGAGAAACATCGGTCAAAGCAAGTGCTGGCTGATAGTCACAATCTGGTCCACTGGTCCTTCAGGCCTTTGGTAGTTTGCACAAGTTACGTATAAAACTTCCTGTGAATTGTGGTAGACTGTTTACCCCATTCATCTCACTTGATTTCACTGGATTAACTGACTTTCTGAAAGTTTGAAGCATTTATGAATCTTTCCAACTCATCCTCCCCCAGCATACTTAGAACCCACTCCTCTTCTCCCTAGAATGAATACCTAAAGAAACAGAAACGAGCTTCAAAGAATTTTCACACAGCGATGCCCAGCGGTGATGCTGGACCAGAGAACAAGAATCAGAATAAGCAGCAGCTTGCTGCAGTGCAGTCCTTCTTTTTCTGGGTACTCTGTCTCTTTCCTTCCTCACCAGCCGAAGTGCAGCTCAACCAGGAGCAGAAACCAAACGTCCCAGAGCTGATGACCAGGCTATGGGCATCCAATGTGTGGTTCCGTGGTCCGGGACCTGGGATTCCATTGCCAGTCCAGTTTCTCGTGTGTGTGTGTGTGTGTGTGTGTGTGTGTGTGTGTGTGTGTGTGTGAACATTTCATAATTATCATCCTCATATTGCTGAAAAATCATTTACTTCCTCTAGATGTTGGAAGAATAATCCACAGACAACACTCTCTCCAGAAGAGAGGGACATTTTCTTATTAGAAATTTAAACTAAGGTTCCTAGGCTATGTCTTTAATTTACTCCTAGTGGGAAATGTTGCTTCTGTCAAGTTAGTAGGTAGTGCTGCAGAGAGAATGTTCTGGAAGATACAGAAGGTTTCGAAAGGGTGGAGGTGAAGGAATAGACTCTCATTCACCTCATCTCCCCCTCATGTGGAAGCTGTGAGGTCAGCTCCAAAGGGGGCTTTATGCTGGACTATGGGGGGTTGGAAAGTGAATGTTCTAGCCTCTTTGCTAAGGTTTCAAAGCTTACCCCTCCCATGAGTAGAGAACTGGCCTTCTAGTAATTCATTCTCTAAGTGAATCTTAGCGTTTACAAACACAACTAAATCCTTTCCCAATTTATAAACATTTCAATACAATTAAAAATCATTGTGTAGAAGGTTGCAGAGTATAACCAAATAGAATTTTTTTTAAAGGAGAAACAGATATGGGAAATCAATTGTCAACATATTTAAAAGGAGTCAATTGGTTGCACAGGGAGAGACGCTGGTGAAAAACGCTTAAGGCTGACTTTTCCAATAGTAAGACTTTATTGCTGTACGTAACCAATAGTGACTGCCTGCCTGCTCTGTGCCAAATACGCCGCACATGTTAGATGTTGGCCACTCACTGATGCTAAACAGCCATAGCTTCTGTCTTGTACAGTTTACCATCCAGTGGGGAGAGGATAAGAAGCAAGAGATAAAACGAGTGGGGACCCAGTTTCTGTTCTAACAGGCGCAGGGAACGTCAGCAGTCTAAGCAAACGACTACACAGAAACCTGGGCTTCGGAAATGGTGTTAGAAGAAGGTCTTTGCCCTTTGAGTATCAGGAAAATGGAGGAACATAAGCTGTAAAGAAGCCAGGCGTGGGGTGGATCACAGACATGGTCTTAACAGCTACGTGGCCTTGTGATTCGCAGACTGGAGTGGATCCTCTAAAGGGCTTCTTCCAACACCGTTTGCCCTGAAGTTGCTCCAGCAGGACCGTGCTGGTGCAGGGGTGCTTGCCATGGGGGGACGATGCCCTCACACAGGGTGGGTGGGAGTGAGCTGACATGATAGGGCAGCTCTCACGAAGGTGATGGTGGTGAAAAACCTACCAGAATCCCGCCACCCTCTGAATTCCTTAACCACAGCCCCACCTCAGACAGCAGGGGTCCCTCTCTGACCTTCCTCCTCCAGGTCAATTCCCAGGACCCGGAGGATCTCATTTGACCTGGTGTCCTTGTTGTCTGTGCTCACACAGAACCGCCCTACCTGGTGAGCCCTGCCCCTTCCAGCCTCGTTGGCAGGCCTCAGAGAAGGTGGACCAGGAGAACCAATCACTTATGTGGCTGGACAGGCAAAGGCTGATTAGGGCTCAGGTGACTTACCTTTCTTTTTCCTCTTCAGATAACGCTTGCCAAACAATTCTGTTCAACCTCCTGTTAAAAGAAAGACCAACAGCGGGAATTTAGCAGCAACGCTGCATTTCATTGCAAAAGACACAGAGAGGCTCTGACGGGGCGCCCCGGCAAAGCGCCCCCATCGCCAGGCCACCCAAGTGTTTCTTTCCAGACCTGGGATAAGAGTCAGTATCTGTCTCCCTCAATGTCACCACCAAGCAAGCAGCGGGGGCCACATCTGACCTCCTTTGGCTCCCCTGTTGCCATGAGACAGAGGTCATCTATGTATGCCTCCACTCTGGGTCCCTGTTAACCCTGTCTAACACCAACCATACCTCCCACAGCACTCTCCTGGCCCGCTGGGTTCCAGAAGTCATTGCAATGGCCAGAGAATTCACAGATAAAACTCCCAATTGTGGGCGTTTACCAGGGAAGTTAACAGACGACCACAAGTTAGGATCAGTAGACAGCGAGGATACAGTCACTGCTCTCCTTAGCTAGCAGCCAAGTCTTTCTCTTTAGTCTTCAGGCTCTCAGCCATGTGGCCCTTGGCTTTTGTCTCCAAGGCCCAGGGAGCCAGCTCACCGCTCTGCCGCAGCGTGTCAGCTCAGCATCTTAGCTCTGCTTCTCTGGCCTCTCTCGTGGCCTCCTTGCCTTGTGCTCTTAGTCTCTGGCCTCAGTCCCTGCCGCTGCAGAGAGAGGTCTTGAACACGCTCCCCTGGCGGCTTTTCTTCCAATGGTCCCAAAACTTCTCTTTCCTCCTACTGAGATAGCTGGCTCAGCCTTATGGCCAGAGAAGTGGCAACGGAAACTGACCAGTCCCCTCTATTAATGTTACACACACCAGATTTGCATAGTCCCATCCAATGATTTACTGGGGCTTACAGAGAGATGGATCTCACGCACTGACAGCACGTCCATCTGACTCATGTTCCCTTCCTATGGAAGAGCTGTAGTAAGAAATACCAAGCTGATACCAAGGGCTCAAAGAAAAAGTAAATGCTTAGAAAATAATGATGGTGACATAGGTACAGACATGCTTGCTACAACTGTTATATAAGAGCTGTAACCAATAAAATGATCTTTCAATTAAAAATTAATGAATTAAATAAATACATATCACTGCACGACAGATGGTATCGGAACAGTTTGTTCAATAGTAAAAGGGGACCCAGCTTCATCATAAAGCCCAAGCTGTGTAAAGGCAGTAAACAAACTAGTCAGACCTCATTACATCTGTATAGCTATTTGTAAAGGATCCCTGGTGGCATGGTGGTTATGCATTGGGCTGTGACCCTGGTGGTCAGTAATTCGAAACCATCAGTAGCTCCACAGGAGAATGACCACGCTTTCTACTCCCATAAATATTTACAGTCTTGGAAACCCACAGGAAGGTCACTGTAAGACAGCATTGACGATGGCAGCGAGTTTGGATTTTTTTGGGGGGGTAAGGGGCTGTTTCTAAGGAGTCCCTGAGTGGTGCAAATGTTATGAGCTTGGTTACTACCTGAAAGGTTGATAGTTCAAAATAAAGAAGGAGAGATCTACATAGGAAAGGCCACAGCCACTACAAACCCTGTGGAGCACAGTTATAGCCTCCACATTGGGCGGGTAGAGGGCAGAAATTGGCACTGGCTCGACCACCACTGGTTTGGCTGCTTTGGGTGAAGTGTCTAAGCAACTAGCATTTTCTTCTGAAGAAAAATCTCACTTGGCCTGTAGCTTGCCTTGTGTTCTGCCTGGGTCTCTCAGAGCAAAAGACGTTAACCAAGCAATGAATAACAGGATCAAGACACTTAGAGCTCAACCAACGTGCCTCCCTATCTTCCACAGGAGGCTGCTTAGGAAAGGAGCACAAATGAGGTGCAGACAAATGAAGCGACCGTTTTTTCTCCCCACAGCCCACTGGCCATGCAGCCTGTCTTCAGAGAAAGGGCGCCGGCCCCAGGGGAAAGAAAGAAAGCTGAAG